TTACAAGTGAATGTAAGCCTGTAAAAGAAATTATCAGATCTCCTACATAAATAATGGGGCATTAAAAAAACAGGAATGACAAATGAAAATAAACTAATTAAGACTAACTAGCTGTATTTATGCAGACATAAGAACACACAAAGGTTGTACTGGATTGGATGAAATGTTTATCTAGCATCATATCCAGGAGTTAATGCTAATGGAATGAAAACACGGTGATTCCTGCTAAGACAAGTCTCCCACTGTTCAACATTCTGCAGATCAGGAATTAAGTTTGTGCTCACGTACGCTTTTTTCATGGAACTTGATGTATTTCTCTTCCATGACTTGTCTAATGCTTTTTGAACTCTGATTTTCACAGCAATCTGTGAGAATGAGCGCAACAACTTAATTATACCATATGCAAAAGAAAACTTAATTTATTGTAAACTGCTGCCTGATGACTTCCCAGGATCTTCCGTAATTCCCCTCTGTTGAAAAACAGCACATAACTTCCTAATGACCTTCAGACCATTCAGAAGTTTATACTAGTTTCTCCTCACATTAGTCACTCTTCCACATTAAATGATTTTTACTTCTCATGCACAAGTATAACACAGGTGAACTAGAGGCTTTTAATGTTTTCTAATGTTCTACTTGCCCTTAAATTCAGAGAGAACATACCATGGATCCGGGGTTTTAGTCTATAAGTTACTGCTACTGAAAAGAGGGAGATGTTCTTCATGCAAGGTTTTACTTCCTTAATGCAAAATCCTGAACAGGATACCACATTTTGTCTAAAGGTTACATCCAGAAAATGTGAGGTAATGACATGATCAGATCGCATACACTGGAAAACTCATTTTTACTTATAAGTTTAATGAGACATCTGCTTAGTATTCATCAGGACTTCAAAAAATTACGACACCAAAGGTCATAGACAGCTTTCATATAAATGTGCTTTATTGCAGAGAAGTTACATTATTTACATGCTGCAACACATTACAACATAAATCTATTAAGTATTTCATGGTGGATGCTGTAGGTTGCCAGATAACATTGTTATAAGAACCACATTATAAAGTGAAGAGACTTACAGCTTTATATACCCTACAACTTGGAGTAGCTAAAATGTTAAAAGTCAAAAAGGCAGTGTTTTCTCAGGCCTGCCTGTTGTCATAAGCATGCAAAAGCCTAAGGAGAGCAAATATAAAAGTATTGTCCAGTTTCAGGTCTATGATGCCACCAAAGCCGATGATAGGTGTGTATTAATTTATATTTTAAAGCGTATAATCTTGCATAAATTATACAAATCTAATGAAATTGGTATAAATCTAATTATTTATAAACCATGGCTTAGAAATAAAGAAGAAATGCAGCTTGCACATGCATTTAAAAGGACAACCTAGCAAATGTTTGTGACTTTATTATTTATTATCTTTTCTCTTAACAGATCTGCTAGAAAACATCTTTATTCTAGAGTTGCACTTCTCTTGGCTGAATAATGACAATGAAACTCCAGAAAAAGACAACTAAGCAATCTAGCCAATTTATGCTGGTGGAGAAAAATCTATGAAACACAGAACATCATTTATGTCTAACTTAGTATGTCTTCATTAAGCAATGTTTCTAGCAGCATCATAGTGAAATATAATAGTTGAGTGAAGTTTGGCCCCTCATTTTCTGAAGTGCAAAATAACCTAAAGTACCAATTATATCCGTAGCCCACATATCAGTTGCTAGACAAACTAGGGAAAGCCTCATTGCATTCTAAAAGAAAGGGCTCCAATTGCATCAGGTTTAGGATATTTGACTACAACAAGCCTAAAGAACCATAAAAGACATTTTTTAAGAAGTGAGGGAAAGGATGAAAGAAAATAAAAAACAAGAAGAATATTGCAGCCAATGACTTGCATGGTGAATCACTCTTTTGTTTGCAATGCAGCTGGGATGATTTACACCACTTTAGGAATGGACTTTGTTTCTGAATATCTAATAAAGAGAAAGAAAAGGAAAAGAGAGAGCGTCGGGAAAGAAAGCAAGGAAGTGATCAAGCAAGAAAAAAAGGAAGGAAAGAAGAAAGAAAATAAAGGAAGAAAGAAATAAAAAGAATAAGGGAGAAAGGAAGAGAAAGGGATAAAAAGAGAGAGTGAAGGAAGGGAGGGAGGAAGGAAGGAAGAAGGAAGGAAGGAAAAGGAAGGAAGCAAGGAAGGAAGGAAGGAAGAAAGGAAGGAAGGAAGGAAGGAAGGAAGGGGAAGAGAGAGAGAGGAGGAAGAAAGAAAGAGAGAGGAAGTGCAGACGGATCAGTGGTGGCTCATGCATGAAGGGCTTGATCCTGCCAGCAGTGCAGGGACAGGGGTGCTGCCTGGGTGGTTGCTGATGTGATCCCCTGCCCTTGACACACAAGACACCATCCATGGCAGCCACAGTGCAGAGGCTGAGAATCCTTGCTCAGCTCCAAGGCTAAAAGAGAGGGCAGGATGAGTGCGGGTGGAGGGTGCTGGGACCTGGTCCTTGTGAAGGGCTGTGAGTTTGTACAAAATATTCCCTTCCACAATTTCCCCGCAGATGTCTTGTGTAACATTAGCACCTGGCTCTGACAAAGTGCTGACAACTGGCTGTGAGCAGGACAACCTGCTGCAAGGGGTCCCCTGGCCACACCGATGCCCACCTAGTGGAGCTGTGGAGTCTCCTGGGGCACCTCCACCTTTCCAGAATAGGAGAGGCTCAAGGTGGGTGCCAGCACCCTGGAGAGACAGGGCTCGGTGTGCTCTGGTAGGACTCCTGAAGAGCTGAGTTCTCAAGACAGACTTACACCACGCAGGGAAATTTAGGGGTACCTTCTCTCTGAAGGCTTTTTACAGAACAAATTCTTGCCAAATTCTGTGCTTGGGACAGGGAAGGGAGAACCTGGGCCCACTCACTCCAACCTGGTCTCTTTCCTGCCACACGCACAGAGCTGGGTTTAGGCTGTCCTTGGGATGCCTGTGGCACTGTGTGTGCAAGGTGGGTTTGCAGTTGTCCAAAGCACCCAGGATCAGATATGCATGGAAGTCAAAGACCAGATCTGTTAGGCTGAAAGCACAGCCTACAACACAGTGGTGGGAGGCAGATGATCCCAGGATTGCTCTGGGCTGCCCAGCAACTTCAATCTGGGACTAACGAGCTCTGACTTTCAGTAGAGTTTATGAGCAAGGCTAACGTGCCCATATCTGAGCTGTCTTGTCTCCGGCTGGCTTAGGTGTTTGCATGGCCCAGGTTAGGCTTAGCAGAGGCAGTAGGAGGATCAGAGCTGTCTTGATCTGTCAGGATAGATGTGCCCATACTCTCTAGTCCATTTTAAAGGACAAGAAACATCTTCCCCATGCCCAGGTGTCCAAGTCCCTCTGTTCAACAAGCTTTATCTTAAGCCACCTTTTCTATGATGCCACAAAAATCAGTTTATACTACAGACGTGTATGTGCATGTGTGTATTAGATATGACATTATATATATATTAAACATATATAAATATCTATTTTATATATATATTATATATATATTAAACAACACATCCTACCAAATCATCCTCATTTCCTGTTCTTCCACTGAATCCCATCACTTCTTTCAAATTGCACAAGTTCTTTAAGACTGGGTCTGTCTTTTATTTTGGGTTACTTCATGTACAGACAATTCTAGTAAACAGCACTTTACTGGAATTAAATTTAGATGGAAGAGGGTGGTATCTGGCTTTTCATTATCAGTGTTACTTCCCAGAACCTCCGCAACACCTCTTAGACCCTGATCCTACCATGAGTGTTTATGCACTAAAGGTCATAGATGTGAATGGGCCATCTATGAATTAAGCTCATATGCAGGATGAGGACTGTAGCTATTACCGAAAATTAGCACTGTATAAAATATTAACTTTCACTATAGATGCATGTATAGATAAACACAAGTCTAAGTATTTTGGACAGCAGGAGAGAGATGCCATCATTTCTAATCCCGCCTGTCTCTCTTAATTGCATATATGGGGAAAAGTAATGTTTTGGATTTCTCTCCTCAAAGGCCAATTTTTGGAGGATTGCCATAGGGGTAAATGTTAAATGTTGTGTTAAATAAGCTAGCCAACATATTTGCCAGAGCTGTGTATTTTCAGTAAAACAGGTTATAAGTTTTTGGTATACTGTTGTCATTCTTGTTTGGTTCTTTTAGTAGGATATGCTCAGTATGAAATACTGAAAAAGGTCACAATGATTAAAATAGGAATTCCAGTTTGTTAGATTATATTTTTCAATATTTAGCAAACAACAGATAAGTTGTCCTAAGATTTATCAGAATATGCAGCTCAGACGACTTGAGTTTTGCTAGTAACAAAGTCTATGAGGATTGACAGGGAAGTGCATAACAAGCAACTTATCTTGTATAAAACCCCTGAATACTACAGTATCAAACTATAAATTTAAATAACAGATAGTAAAACAAAACAACAAAATCACTAGAGAAATCACAGGAAAAAAAAAAAAAAAAGAATCCCTCAAAGCCCAAAGGAATTTCCCCATAAAAGTTACGGCTTCCCTAGCCAGTGAAAGATTACTGTAATTCTATATATAAACAAAAAGTCTGTAACAGGTATTTTAAGTTGTAGTAAGAATAAAGTATCTGCAGATTGCATAAATGTGTTGTGTCATATAATATCAAAGTTATTTGCAAAAATTATACAATCTGGAATGCTTTAATATGAGACACAACAATGTACTTAAACATACATTAATAAGAAAATGAGAGCAATCATTATATAAAATGTATTTTTGGGATGCATTGAGTTAGCAGTGCTATCAAGATTCAATACACAAAGTGAAAAGTCGTCATTATAATAAGCTGCTCACTGATACCCCATTTTGCCATCAGGACATTTTCTGTGCCCTACTTCCAATGGATCTTTAAAGTCCCAAGGGCAAGTTAAAGCCAGTTGTGGGCATTCAGAAACAATTGTGGTGAGATTTACGGTGTGCACTTGTTATCGCCATTTTTTTAAATTCTTTTGAAGTAGTGACTTCACCAAGGCTGGTTTCTTTCATTGACTCAGTAAATTCCTTGCAGCAGGGGCCACATTTTGGACACTGCGAATCACACTGTTGGCACTCAAAAAATAAACAATAAGAACAATAATAATTTACTTTGCTTATTTTCTGCTTATGTGTTGTGCTGATTCTCTTGATTTAAGTGATGCTCCTTAGGAATTTTCAGATCCTTCTGGCCTAAGTCTCTTCTCTTTCATGTTGTCTTTCTTCTCAGTGTTGCTACTCTCCTCAGTTCAAAACCTCTTATTTTCGAGGTGTTGCTGTTTTATTTGCACTTATAGTAGAGGTTTTTGATAAAGCTACACTTCTTTCTGCATTTGGTAAATCTGGTGTATCATACTCCCAAGGGCAGACTTCAGCTCGAGATGCTAAAGGTTTCTGTAAGTAACTACTTGGCTTATGGGAGTCAGAGGAAAGCGCATTTGCCTCAGACAATTTATTTTTTTTCTGTTCTGCCAATTTATTGAGGTTTTCCTTTTCTGTTGCTTTCTGGGGTTGTTCGTCATATTGCCCAGCACAAGGAGTGGGCACGTATCTATTAACATTCTCACATTTCAACCCAGGGGTGACCTGAGACTTGGAATTCAACTGTTTTTTCTCATTTTCAAAAGCCTGCTGCTCTTGTGTCTCCCAAGGGGTTGTCTCCAACTTCTCTGAGCTCTTTTGATTGGATTGTTGATACCCCTCAGCTGTCTTCAGCTTATGATGAGATTTCCCCTTTGGCTGGGAAGGGTGGTTTTTCTCTGACTCTGAGGAAGCAATAGATACATGTTTTTGAACTTTAGAGTCAGAAGGCACAGGACCAGGAATTTGGTCATATATCTCCCAAGGACAAACTTCTCCTATGTCAAAATTGTCCTTGTGCAGAGACTTACCTGGCCCTGTGTCAGGATTTGTAGGCATCTGACTAACCTTTTGTTGTTTCATAATTCCAGATTTATGGGTTTTCTTTGTCTCCTCAGAGTGCGTAGAGTTCTTCCACTGAGAATCCTTATGCTCCCCTTTCTCAGAGATTGAGTGTTTTTTGTTGATCTCCTTATTCTTTTGTTGAGATTTATGGGATTTAGTGCTTTCTTCGAGACTTTGCGTTTTACCTGTTAAGCCTAGAGTCTTTTCCTTGGCACTAGCAATAACACTGAGCGATTTTTGTAACACAGATGTTCTTGGATGCAGAGGCTTCTTATCTGCACTTAAGTTATGTGCGCTTACTGATTTGCACACCAAAGGGACTGATTCAGTGGACGCTGCTTCAACTTTTTCAGTAGCTTTTTTGGTTAATTTATTCTCAGGCAAGGAATCCAGAAGTGAATTCTCAGCAGTTAGACCTTCCACGCTTTCTCTAGTTAAGCTGTTAGGTTCTTCTGTTTGATCCCTAACATGATCATAAGTGCTGTGGGACTTCTTTAATGAAAATACTCTGTTTTTCAAAGTCTCTTCTTTTGGCTTTACATAAGTCGTGGAGTCCTGCGGGTTTTTCTTCAGTGCTGCAGTATTCTTTACAGCACTGTGCTCCACCAGGTCCTTCTCATCCCTGGAGCACTGCCTCGTGACTGTCTCAGGGATTTCTGTAATACGTCGCATTATTGATCTCCCCAAGCCCTTCTTAGAGCACCTTTTTTTCTGGAGATGTGGGTTATTAGCAATCATCTTTTTCCTCTTATAGATTTCAAGCTGGGCATATAGTTTCTTCAGCTCATCCTGCAAAGCAAAGTGAAGGCAAAGCTAGTATGTACAGAGTGAATCCAGTCAACTTAGCACTCCAGTGAGTGCCTTACCTATTAGAATAAAAACATATTAACCTTCTTTCCCTGTCTTTTCTAATGCTTGAATATGCCATTTCTCCATGAACTTTAATCCATTTTTTCTAATTTTTAAATAAATTCAACACTGAAATCATAGCACAACGTGGTTGCCCTGCATGGCAGCATAGCATACAGCATGCAAAGGCAATTAATACTCATTTACGCTGCATGTTTTCCGGCTGAACTCTACCACTATGCTTTAGTTGGGGAATGTTAAGTCAGAGAAGCTACAGACAGAAGAGCCCTTTAATCATGTAGGATAGGATGGAAGTTTTTTTTCCGTTTTTTATTGTGTTTGATAAAATTATATATTATATAGTGATGGCAAATGACTAATCCCACTGACATCAAACTCTGTGTTTCAAGCTAATTCAAAGAACCTATGTATACTGATAAACATCTTTTGCTATGGTTTCCTCCTCTTCAGCCTCCCATATGACTTTTTATAACAGATAATGCAGATTCTCTTCACACAAGCACATTTTTATCTAAAAGATGTTACAGAACCCAGTACCACAATCATTACATGACCTATCTGGACTGTTTCATTTAGTATCTGTAAAAACAGGTCAAATGGATGCGATTCAGAGTTAACTGATAGGGAAAAAAGCACACGTTCTTGAAAATAAGTATTTTATAGTTATTATATACCCGAATGTCTTCAGGATCCAAACTATGTTCACTCCATGCTGAATTGATGCTGCTGTTCAGATAGGATCCAGAGCGACCCATGTCAAGCTCATCTTCATATGCTTCTGTAGCTATATCATCTCTTGGGTTATTGCTTGAATGTGAAAACTGCAATAAGTATTCATAAAAAAGATGCTGCCATCAGTGAACAGTAAAAGTTTACATCAACTATTTTAGGTGTACGATGATCTTTCTATGGATTTCATGTGACTTGTGTTAACTCAAGATACCAGCTACAGGCATCATTGACATAAATAGCATCCTACAGAATACCAGCATTGAACAGAAGGAATTCTTGTTATTTATGACTTAACTTGAAAAGGCTTAGACATCTACAATAGAAGAATTCCTTGTGCTTAATTCCATGCCTATTTGAACCTCTTTAAATTGCTTTTAAATTAAACTAGTATGAAAATATACAGGAATAGACATTCAACCTATGTTTCCAATTAGGTTGCTCAAACAATAAGACTATTTTATATCCCATACAGTTGAATGATCTGGTAGAAAATAATTCTTTCTTTTAGATTCTGACCAAAACAAGGAAGAAATGAGACAGCAAAAAACAAAACAAAACAAAATGAATGAAGATAAATTAGAACGGGACAAATTAATCCCTCTCTCCTAAGTTTCAGCAAATGTTCATACCCAAAGTCAGATGGAGGTTGTGTCAGCTCCTTTTTGATTCACATTAATTAACTGATCCCTAGTTATCACTGCACACATAGTCATCTGGCCTCATGATTTTATATCTATAAATGGAACGTTGTGATTTTCTTTTGATTTCCTGAGTTCTTTGGGATGCTGAAAGAAAAGTCTGTGTCATGTTACATAGATAATAAAACTAAAAATAGAAATGTTGATCACTAGCTATGAGTCAGTTCCTAAAAGGTTAACACACTTTCTAGGCTGGTGTCAAAAGGCATCTCTGAAAACAACGTAATAATAGGCATACGATAAAAAAAATAATAAAATTATTGTTAATGACCAGAAAAATCATTAAAACAAAGCAAGGCTGTTCACTGTTAAGACTGCATCACTGTGTCCTCTTGTGACTGTTTAATGCATGTATCTTTGACAGTTATCAGTATACTGTTTCGACACAAGCAAGTGATAGGAAAAGCAGCTTCACTAACATGAAAATCGCCTTAACTGGAACTGTGCAGCATTCTTATTTATGGATACCTTTACATCTTTAATATCCTCTTTGGTTCTTGATCTTTTGACTCAGAGAATTGGCGATTTCCAGAGTCATTATCAAATTATACTTTGTTTGCCAGGATACGGCACAAGAAAGAAGCCCAAGTGAAATCCCACGGCTGGCACCAGGCACAGGAGGAGCTGCCTGTGGTATTCTGGCACTGCAGAGCCCGACATGTTTTAGTTTCATCTCCTGAGGCAGATGGGAAACAGGCTGTAGAGCTCAAAGCTCTGTTCTGCTCCCTGCATCCCGCCTTTCTGCCCCTTTCCTTCTCCCTCCCATGTCCATCCTCTCACCAACCTCCACACCTGGCTCTGTATTATGAGCCAAGAGTCTCCTAGGAATGTCCCAAGCTTCTGACTTGCAAAGGTGTCTCCACTATCGGCCAAGATAAATCCCAGCCTCCTCTCTCACAGCCAGCCCGAGCTGCCCATTGCAATTTTATTTAATGGTCCATTCCAGTCTCCCCACGCCCTCTTTCAAATTCTTTGTCTGATTTCAGATTACACTGGCAGACACACAGCCACCCAAGTATCTGAAATCAGCAACTAGAGAAAATGTCTAATTCAGCCCCTGTAGCCCTGAGTACATGTTGCGCAGGCTGAATATGGCACATTTGGTTTCCAAACTCTACCAAATCTCCACAAAGCATGTACAAGCAAAAAAAATGCAAATGCAGTTGATGTGGACAAATGTCAGCAAATCTATCTAAAAAATGTCAAGCCTTTGCTTCAAGGTGAGACACTACAGTGTTCACACTTGTCAATCAGGTAACTCAAGGAATGATCTCATGTGGCCACAGCAAGCAAATGCCTTCTAAATTTGAGAAGTGGCACAACCAGTTTTGCTAAACTTTTTAAAAGACAGAGTCTTAGCATGGTAGGCAAAATGAATGATTTATACCTGCATAATAAAGGAAATTTTCGGCAACAGAAAAGTGGACTTAAAAGTACAAAAAGCAGGACTGCCTCATATATATTTTCATATTTTAGGCATCATAGTCAAATTTTGCAGCTCCCTTTTCTTGTTTGCTAGTGAATTTTCTAAAGAATTTTATGAAGAATTGCTTCTACATAATAATTATATTATCTTTCTTGGTCTTGGCAAGAGAAAAAAAGACAGAAAAATAGAATACCTTAGGGATCAGAAGTAGCCCAACAGTGACTGTCACAGTCAAGTGTGTGTGTGCAAAGAACAGCATCAGCATCCAGTCAGACTGAAGTCTTGAAGCAAGGATGAATCTGAAAATAGAAACCAGGGTTGGCATTTCATTGCCTTATCTCTGTACATTACACAATGTTTTTAATGTTCCTTAGGATTCTTTCACTGAAAGACCAAACACAACCATTTTTGTTTTGTACTGCTTTCGTAGTGACTAAAAATTACATCTACAACATGCTTTACTTATACACCACAGTTTCAAAAAAAAAAAGAAAAAATCCAAAATGAAACAAAGAATGAAAATAGAGGGCCTGAAAGGATAAAAAAAAAAAAAAAGAAAAAATCCAAAATAAAACAAAGAATGAAAATAAAGGGCCTGAAAGGATGTTGCTTATTCAAGCTGCCTTACTCTATTAAGCTGTTTTTTTTTATGGTGCAAATTGTCACAGCTTCTTTGGCTTGAACTAAGATATGACAGCTTATATTCATTAAAGATCTGAACTGATGATTTTAGTTTATCCAGTAAGCTCATGCACTAAGATCATTTGTAGTGCATTTCATAAATGCAGGATGGCCATAGATTGCAGCCACTGATAACCATTGAAGAGAGAACTGAACTGAGATGTGTTTTAGTGGGGAGCAGAGAAATGGTCTGGACTGCAGGAGCTCCCAGCTCAATACTACAGGGCCTAAGAGCTTTGCAAATGCTACTGAGTGACTGAATCTCCTAAATGAAGCAATTCCTTGCTGAGCTTTCTGAAAAAGAGGCAGAACAAGCCGAGGCATGCTTGACTTATCTGCTTTAGCGAGTTCCCAAAGATATAAATGGTAAGCAGCATATTGGATGAATGGATGTACCACTGGCTTTTAATTCACAGCTTTACAAGAATTATTCAGAAATAAATGACATTTGCAACTTATCTAAGTCCACAGATGTATATTTTGCAAAAGCTTTTCTTAACAGAAATACTCTAACAAGAAAAATTGGCTTATATGTCATAATCAGACAGGCACCAATTCTTCTTTACTATCTTATAAACATAAGGTTTCATCAACACAAAAAATACTATAAATTCTTTTTTCTTAAAAGGATGTTGCTGTTAAGGTATGCAGACCCTGGCCTGAAGTTTAGCTAACTGAACAAAACCTGAGAAACTACTGATGATGGCACAGGAGGATGATGGATATAACAAGTAATAGAGTGAGAAGCTAAAAAAAGTTACAAATAGTGCTGTGAGGAATGCTAAGATTTCACAGGGGGTCAAGGGACAGTTATTTGAAGGAAAGCCAAACTTTGCAGTAATTGCATAGAGTATCAGGGACACTTCGGGGAGCAGAACCTGGAAGGTCTGCAGTATCTCGGTATTTCAGCAATAGCAAGGCCATGATTACCTAGGTAAGGATGAAATACCAAAAAGCAGCGACTTATTTTCCCAAAATGGGAAAAGAAGTAATTAAGAGTTGATTATATGGGAGAAGACAAGGGTGGACGAAGAGTAGGGCAAAGGAGAATAAGAATGGAAAGATGGCGAAGTGCAGAGTGATAAAAGAGGCCAGTGGCATGTAAGCGAATTGCTACTGACTGAACGCTGTACGTGATGACTGTGGTAGGTGCAATCTTCTCATAACATTTTATTCCTTATTTCTGCGTGACCTCACTATTTACGGTGTGTGTGTATATGTATACTTTGTCAATGAACTTTGGGCTGGATAAACCAGCAAGTTGGAGGGACCCACATGTGCAAAGTTTGCTGATGATACAAAACCGGGAGCAGTGGCTAATGCACCAAAGGGCTGTGCAGCTACTGAGAGAGACCTGGACAGGCTGGAGAGATGGGCAGAGAGGAACCTCATGAAATTCAACAAAGGAAAGTGCAGGGTCCTACCCTTGGGGAGGAATAACCCCAGTACAGTTGGGGGTTGACCTGCTGGACAGCAGCTCTGCGGACAAGGATGTCAGAGTCCTGATGGACAACAAGTTAACCTTAAGCCAGTAATGTGCCTTTGTGGCAAAAGGCACAAATTGAAACACAAGGAGTTCCTTCGGCGTATGAGGAAAAACTTCACGAGAGTGACAGCACACTCAAACAGGCTGCCCAGAGAGGCTATGGAGTCTCCTTCTCTGGGGACATTCAAAACCTACCTGGTCACGATCCTGTGCCACGTGCTCTAGGTGACCCTGCTTGTGCAGGGGGGTTGGAATAGATGATCTCAAGAAATCACTCCCAACCTCAACCACTCTGTAATTCTGTGATATAAATATGATTCTTACATTTCATCTCCTTCACACTCAGAACTTAATAGGGAAGACAGAACAGAAATGTGAACTTCAAAGAGACTAGGTTGAGAAACATGTATACAGAAGTAGACATATCTCAGGAGGGATCATGTATTTCCAAAACAGGTTGCTCATTCCTATTTATAAACTGTGTACTATTTCATCAGCAAACTAACCTGTATATGAGAAAGAGTAATGAAGCAATACAAAATATGTATTTTTTTGTAAAAAGAAGAAAGGAAAAAATCAGTAGATCTTACGTGGAAGGAACAACTTCATCCTTGCTAGAATAAGTGGGAAGACCTTGTTCTCTTTGGTCTCCTTGTTAAGATATGCACTGATTCCTTTTTCTGATTTATTATACATGCCCTAAATGAAGGCATTCATAGAAGAAAAGGAATCTCTGCCTAATTCTGTGTTTGGTTAACTTTGTCCAGTGGAAGAATATTTCATTAAAATGAAAAAAGTCTGGATATCTACTCTATAAAACCAAACCACTGAGGTGATCAGAAATGTAGCAAAAACCTATGTAAGAGGGAAGAATCCTTTCTTTTACACATGTTTCTATATGTTTTTTAATAAAAATTCCCATGGTTAGGAAATTACATTACCTCCCTTTTATCTCCTTCAATTCAAAAATATTTTCATCTTGTTCTATTGCTACACTTACAGCCCAAACAATATCAGTGCAACAAACTTTATCTTCTACCATGGCTCAAAATGTGACTTGGGAACATTAATTAACAGGGAAAGCTTTGCCAGAAAAGCTGTCATACTGGTTATAGACAACTTACAGAACTTTAATACCTGGGTGTTTTGAATGTACTCTGTAAACTGGGAATGAAAATAAAAAGTAATTTAGCATTTTCCAAATCCAAATTCAGTTTTTGAAATTATTTTTTCAGATTTTGTGTTAGGAGTAAAACCCAAGATTTTGAGAGCATATGTATTTGAGACAGAGGGTTACGAGAAGATGAAGGAAATAAAAAGTTGCAAGCTTGAAAAGTGTAGTGAACTTCTTCACAATGACAGGGAAAAAACATTGCACCTAGAGGGAATAGGAATGAAAGATTTGCTTTGGTGATGTTTGTTTGGAAAAGATGATGCCTCATGGAAGAAAACATGAAGGAGGCAGAAAGAAATGTGAATGTGAAGAACGACCAGAAAATAAGAACTGGACTTGAAGGCTGTCAATGGAGAGATGAAAAAAAAAATCTGAGTGGATAAGGTCTGTCAAACAAAAGAATGATGTAAGAAGACAAGAAATGACAGAGGAGAAAGAATGTCATAAGAAAGTCAAAAGAATCTCTTACAGCATGAACTGAATGAAGTTTATGCTATCTTGTTATTTAGGATTTTCTGTGAGCAATTTGTTCTTACACAGGTTTCTGTGGGGAAGGCAAATATGTTAATTTGTATGTGGCTCAGTTACTAGTTACTTTTCTAATAATTTACAAGTCTGAAATGCAAAGATTATTATAACCTTTGTAAGGAACATGTGCCCTATATAACTCCTGCAGCATCATGACAGCTTTTCATGTCAGCATAAAAAACCACTATGCTTCATGCATGAATCAACACAAGTATCATCTGATCATATTGCACTTTGGCAATGTTACACACCAGGAAAACGTTCACACAAACCACCACTCTTACCTGCTGTTTTCCTAGAACTACAAACCAGGGAGAAGTATGTAAATGAATCAAGACTGCTGCAAGTTCTGCTACTTTTAATTTATCATATATACTGAACTTACTGAAAAAAAGTGATTATCAAGTTGACTGTATATACTCTTGAGTCCTATGGGAACAGTTTTAAGTTTAGCAATTCCTTTATTTGTAGAATTAAATATTTATGAGTCCTTCCATAATGCATCCTATCCCGTTTACCCATTTTTAATTGCATCATGCGAAACCTGAAAGACAGTTTATTACGAGATCTACAGATCACTTGCCTAATTGTATGGAATATAGCAGAGATAATGAGCTCATTGTGAACTGCAACAGCCATATAACGTGGCTCATGAAATGCTGATGGGACTGTCCGCACTGCATAGCAGAGATAAACACCCCACAAGAGGAATAAAAATTCAGCTGTGAGAAGAACAAAAAGAAATAATTTGCAATTAGTTTTATAGATGAAAAAGGAAGGAAATATGAAGTACTATAATATCTTCTGTACATGACAGCATGTATATAAAGACTGCATATACTCATAAATATATACATATATACACAAATATACATTCAAACACTTTTGGTTATTGTCACTGTGCATCACACATTTGGTTTACATTTCACACACTTCTTTTTTTTCCAGATGAGGAACCTTGCATTCACGGGGTATCAGTTTTTCAAATAACAAGCTCTAAGACAAAGTCTTCCTTACATTCCTTGCTTTGTTTTTTAATTAGTACTACAAAAGCTTGACATGACTTAAAATATATATATTTTTATCTATAGCTTTGCTTCTTGTTACAGAGCCTTGTTATCAGTGTTACTACTGGTCTGTAAGGTTTTTAAGACAACAGCTCAATTTCAAAGGTTTATAACTCAGACATAACAATATTTTGGGCCAAAAAATTCCTCAATTTGTGACAGTTAATTCTGCTGGCGCCCATAATATTATGAGTCACCACTGAAGACCTAATACAATTATAACAAATTATATGCTTGTCTCTGTTATGAGCAAAATAAATAAAAGAAGAAGGAAGCAGAAGTGAAAGGTCAGGACGGGCTGCAACTGTGGTGTTAGAGCAACTCATCTGCACCCTGGACTCAGACTTCAAATCCCAGTAGACAGTAAGTTGCGACATCATTTTCACTGTGATTCAATCAAAATAATTTTGGACCCACTTGAAAAACACCCCCTTTCCTCCACAGCTCAGCCATGTAGCTGTGGGTTCAGATGCCACCAGGGCCTCTGGCCTTGCAGTTTGGGTTGATGATGGCTCCAAGTGGTTGAGCCTGTCCAGCCACACGCTACTGGGCTCCCACAGCACTGCCACGGCTCTGGGACACCATCAGACCTGCACTGTGGCGCCCTGGTCCTCACTCACTGCTCTTGCCTTGCTGAATTCTGCAGCTACTCCATCAACCACAGTGTCCCCTACACTCGTGAGTGCTACTACGGTGCTAGTGACCCTGTGGCACATACAGCTCTGTTGTCGGCAAGTTCCTACATGTGGGAGAGAAAAGTAAAATAGCAAAGATGGTTTTAACTCTCCTGCACTCAGCCATTTAAAGCCTGGTTGATGCCCTGATCCTTCCAGCACCAAGGAACAGCAATAGCCAGTTCTGCAGGGCAGTATCATCTCACCCTAGCAGAGCAGGAGGCACTTGCTCGCATCTAGAGTACTGAAAACACCCTGACATCCACCTCACCTAAGTGTCTCCATAGGTGAGCTGAAACCTACCGTAACTCTTAATTCACCAGCTGTTTGAGCTAAAAGGAAAAACATTTGCATGGTCTAGCTCAGGTGAATAAGCCCTCTGGCTACTTCTAACAGCCTGTTACCATTGTAGAAATACATTGCTACTGTGTTTTGAAGCTTCTAATTTTACTATGGGTCTCAGCTAAAATCAATAGGAACCAAAATTAAAATTGTTTCAGTTATGAAGTTTTGTCTTCTGGTAAGTTTCTTTTTGAATTTGAGCAATACTTTGGACATTTTCTATTGTATTAAAACAGAATGCCAAGCCTTAAACTCATTGTTTTTACTTAAACATGTTCAATATACCGTGCAGTTTAACTAGCTTTGGAAAAACATTTGAAAAGGTACAACTCACACATGTTGCTATTTTTTTATGTCCTTCCTCATCAAAGTGTATGCAATAATAAACTTTTAAACTAAATAATAGTTTGATTTGGGACCTCACGGAGAGTCAGTATAAAAAAAACATAGTATAAATCTTCAAAGACTGGGTCCCTGCCTAGTTTTGAGCAGGTATGTAGGTATATCTTTCACAGATTCCCTATAAACTGTTTGGGAACACTGGTAGCAGAGCTGATTTTCCAGTAAGTCCATTACTCTAGCTTTGTAAAAAAAATCTGGGCACGTAGAATACAAATTTTGCTTCAATGAAGTATGATTAAAGACACCTTTTCGAATGAGAGTGGTTGCGTTTTTTCTCTTTAAGCATACTTGTCCTGCATATGTAGAATCACAGCACTCAACAGTATTGCTCTTCAAAGCACTGACATCCATTGCTCTAATTGCTCTGCATTGACTTAAAAGAAATTGAAAAGGAGAAAATATAGACACAAAATGAGGCTGCTGCAGTCTCATTTCATCATTGGGTCTTACTGTCCTGTATTCGATGGAGACCTGCGATATCAACGCCATCTAGCAGGGATTCCCTGGATCATGATGCTCATCCGATTTCCTCTCATTTGGCCTTTCACCCAGGTCCACCACAGTAGGAAGGGATACTAGCAGTGATGTTGAATAAGGTGACTTTAAGAGTTAATTGCCAAATGTGCTAATTGCCAAATAACAGGGATGGTCCACAAAAGTGCCTGTGGTCTACTTGCCTTTCTCTGCCACAACAGTGAGAAGTGCATCAAGTCTTAATTGACAGTAGTTTTAAATATGAGTGCTGAGGGAGGTTATGTCAAGCATTGACAAGTGTGTGAAAATATCTGCAGTATAAAACTCCACATTTTGAAGGTCTCCCTACTTAAAGAAAATCTCCCTACTTAAATGAGCCAAGTTTTGCTTATTCTTATCGGAAAAAAAATGCTGTAACTTTGAAATTTTACAAGAATGGAACTTTTTTCTTCTATGCAGATTGAATACAATCATTGAAGGTACCTCAGGATCCAATCAAAAGTAAAAAAGACACACCTGCAATAATAATGATCAGTTTGAAAGAGCTGGTCTAAGTAGGAATGAAGGTAGCATTTGACCTCCAGAGCAGAGTTATTCCAAAATTTCACAGTTTTCATTTTCACAAGTGTATTTACGTGAAGTTCCTGCAACCACAAGAGTGGACGCCAAAGTCCTGATATACTGGAGTGTAACAGCAGTTTGCACTACTTAATCTACACTTTTATAAAAGATTCACATGTTGAGCAACAGTGGCATCCCTGTCTGCAGATAACAATTACTGTGACATCTTGTTCAAATAGGAAATAGCTCTTAAAACAAGCAGTAAAATTAAAGAGTTGCTCAGCTGATAAGCCCAGCACTACAATAATTTCATTAGCAGTAACAAACAAAACATACAGTTCGAAAACAATTTGGTATCTAAAGCACTAATTATATAGCTTAAATGTATCATATAGAAGTTGTGCTTGAGGAGGAAAATCTAGTTCAAATAATTAACTTCAGACTTGTAGTGCAATTTGTAATGAAAATCTGCAGATGTTAACAATTTTGCCGTATTATTTTTGTGTCCTTTTTCCTTTCTTGACATAAAATGAGGTGATATATTTATGTATTTATTATACTGATGAAAAACACAGAAATAACTAGCTAAAATAAATAAATAGAAATTGAATAAAGATGAGGAAGCCCATTTGGCCACCATGGAGCATGTTTCTTTACGTATCATACATCTCTGAGATCTTACTAGTCTTGTTTACTGTGTGCTCTTATGACTGTCCTGTACCAAACGATCTTTAATGATTAAAATTTGAGAATTCTGATATAAAATTTATTTTTGACTTGCTAAAGAATTCATCACTTCAGGTCTGGCGTAAACCTGCCAAAACCAAAATAAATCTCTAAACATATGATCTTGCTCCTTAAAATACAAACTTATCATAAGGCTTTCAAATTATCCCCTTTAAATTTCAAGCACAAGAGGTACCTGCATATTCTCTTCCCCTCCTGAAAAATGGGGAAAACTACTATGATTAGGAGCTGTCAATAGCTACCTTGAAAAAAAAAATGTGAGGTCAAAAAATCAGGTCTAAAAGAGCTCTTAAAAATTTTGCAGTAGCTATTTTATAATTGACCAAAACAGGTGCAAATCTGGGACAGATAAGTGAGTAAGAAAATTAAAACCTGCTTTAAATGCCTTCAATGCACTGGACCAGACACATGCCCAGTGCAACTGGCCTGTTATATAAGTGCAGCGCTTGCTAATTTGGGATTTGGATGTGGCACTGTACACACTCCACACATTTTGGCAATGAAGGACAATGATATGTTCACAGTATGTGAATACAGATTTGCTCCATAAGGAGGGACAGGTTCATGGTTGATTTTATTAAGCAAACTGAAGTTCCTGAACATGGGGGAATTCTTTCATGTCTAAAGCCAGTACGAGGTTTACCAGAGAGATGCTCCGGAACATCCTGCAGTGCACAAGGCCTCGCACAGCAGGCGATTGCAGGGTGCCCCCACGTCCAGCCCCCCAGCAGCACTAACTTCTGGTGCTCCCCTAGTTCCCTGCCTGCCCTGCAGATGCCTGCACTGGGGTTGATGGAGCAGAAGTGCCCACTTGTCCCTCCCGCAGAGCTCCTGTGCGAAGGGAACGCGGCA